AGGAAGGCACAAGCCCCCCCACTCCCCCCCACTCCTTAGATTTTGTTCCCAAAAGACAAGACGATGAATTGCCCGCCCGCCCGCTCGGGCAGGGCCTGGGGGCTCGTCCTCGGGCATCCGCCGGCGTTTGGACAGGCTTTTGCTTTGCAAAAAAGACAAAACAAAACAAACAAACGAAACATCAACATGACAATCCGCAGTCCGGGTCCTGGGGCGTGCTGGCCGTCGGGGCGCGCTTTGTTTCGCTGTTGCTCTTTGTTTTTAAATAACAATAATTTAAAACCCGAGCTCGTCTGGCGCTCGGGGCCGGAGGCCGGGCGTGTCTCATGCAGGGAGCAGGAGCATGCGAAAGTCCAAGTCCGCGAAGGGAGCCTCGCCTCACGTCTCCACCGGGCTGGGCACCATGCTGTTGGGGGTGTCGGGTAGCTGCGAGGACAGGGAGGTCACATCGCTGCCGGAGGAGTTGCCCAAGGAGCCGGATTCGGAGAAGGAGACCTGGGGGAGGCAGCGGGGACACGGGTCAGCGCCGCCCGACGCACCGGCCCGCTCCAGGGCGGCCCAGGTCCGCGGGAGGGGGGGGGCACCTGCGGCAGCTGCCGCGTGTTAACCACAGCGGGTCCTGTCCGCTCCGGGGGGTGAAGCCTTTTCTAGCGCTGCCCGGACGGGGAGGGGTGGAGGCTGCTCGGCTTCCTAGAGGGGGCCTCCGGCACTCTCCAGAGCCCTTCCCTGCCCCTCGGACAAGCGTTCACCCCATAACGCGCTGCCAGGCAGTGGCTCTGCTGTCGACAGCTCCCGCCCACCTCCCACTTCAGCACCGAGGTGGGGCCGGGCGCTCCAGGGAACCGAGCACAGGGCCGCGGGGACCCCGGCGCCCTCGGGGAAGCGCGGCTCTAAGAGGCCCGGGCAGAGGCGGGGCAGGCCCCGGGCCCGCCGCGAGCCCTTGGGAGCTGATCGCAGAGCAAGCAGCGGCCCAGGGCAGCCGCGCAGTGCGGGCGGGCTGATGTCGGGGCCCGCGGTTCATCCCTGCCGCTCCCGGTGCTGGGAAATGACCAGTTAATGACGCCCGCAGCCGCCGCCTCCCGTGGACTGGACACCACCCGCCGCTCGTTGTTGCTGGTCCTCTCCCACCTCGGACCCGGCCGGGGCGGCGGGGTCACAGCTCCGAGAAGTAGCCCCGGGCCCGATCTTGCGGCCCTTTGCGCCACTCAAGCCAGGGGAGCCCGGGCAGTGTGAGCCGGGAGGGGCTCGCTGCCTAGTGGGGCCTGGGGACAGTCGAGCAGGCCCGGGGAGGGTTTGAGCCCACGGGTCAGCCGCGAAGCGAGGAGTCCCTCTCCCCCCGGCGGGGTGACTGCTTTGCTCCCAGGGGAGCGGGACACCAGGGCCCCCCGACGGCGGCGGCGGCGTGGCCCGCTCTGGCCCTGGCGCGGGGGCAGCACAAACCCCGGCACGGGACGCGCCCCCCTCCTCCCCCAGCTCCAGTGTCGGCGGCTCC